GGCGCGTATGCATCTGCTGTTCAGGGGGTGAGCAGGGCAAGGTAGTGCTGCTCGAGAGCAACAGCACTGCTGCAAGGAAGAAGCCTTTGCTTTGGCTGAGCAGGGAGGGAAGGCACAGGACCATCTGGCCAACGACACATCCCCAGGAGTGTGTGGACCAGAGAGTGGGAGGCAGGAAACAGAGCACAGAAACACAGAAGCAGAATGAGTCAGAAGGGGTCTCCCGGGCCATCTAGTCTGACCCCCAATGCTAGCGGGCTTCACTCACGGCATGCCCACCACGTGCATGTCCAGCCTGTCCTTGAACACCCGCACCGGTGGGGCCTCAACCACCTCCCGGGGAAGTCCAATTCAGAGTATTTGGGGGGCCCACAGGGAGAGTGATCAAAAGCAGAGTCATGCTAGAGCAGACCAAGGTGAGACCGCAAGCAGGACGTGAGCACAACTGTAACTCCATCCAGGCCCCTTACCGAATGCTGCACATAGCATGCAGCCTCTGATACCACCAGGGGATGCAAAGACCCTTCAGGACCAGGAGCCATCGGCCGTCTTCAGACCACACCCTGCATTCTGTTAAATGAGGACACTCCTGTTGGCTTTGAGAAAAAGGGAACATCATGGAGGTTTTCAGATGATTACAGTGAATGAAGCCAAGGGGTGGATTCCACATAGCATTCACCTTCATCCTTTCCATCTCAAATGGATTTCACTGCACCCTCTGGGTGGTTCCCATCCTTGTGGGCAAGATGGCAGGGAGGTTCGGTGCTCCCGACTGGTCTGCTCTTTGACCTGATGCCAGTCCATGGGAGTGAGCAGGCTACATCAGCCTCCCTCTGGCTCTGCCTTTTCAACACCCCACATCCTTCCCTTTCTAAATCTCCGTGTTCAAAAGTTCTCTTGCTGTCCTCCAGCCCCCAGGCAGAGTGTGATCTAGTTTCCTTCAGCTTCCTGGTCCATCTCCAAGCCTGCAGGAATTGTGGCCATCAATTCTGACCCAGACTTGCCTTCCAGTTCTGATGCACATTCTGCACTAATTTTGCTGATTCAAAGGCAAGTTCACTGCGCCACTGGATTCCGCTTAGCTTCCAACTGTTGTATTCCAGTCTATGCTTATCAGAGCATCTTGTGTTGCTATCTTATCAGTTTCCTCTTGTGCCCATGCATGAATGTTTTCTATTTCCTCTTCTTCAGCATCCGGAGCTGGTGGGACGGCCTGGGTGATGGGTGACGATGATTGGTCTTCCGAGAATTTTGGTTGATAAGCTTTGGTTGGATGTGGCATCACAACACTGATGCCTGTTCCTGAGTACCTGAACCCCTCCACTTCTTCTGAGTTTGCCAGTTTTGAATGCAGCACTTTGGGGGTTTCTTAAGGATAATGCCCCATTCCAGCCCATTTTGCAACATGCACACCACGTGTCGCGAAAGCTACTCCTTCTTCCCCTTGTTTTCGGGTGTCCAATTTGCCTCAGTTCCTACTTCTTTCCTTCCACCTGTGAGCACCTTTCTGTGACAAGACTTACTTTCAGGTTTGATCCAGCTGCATGGTGAGTGACAGTGCTGTTTGTGCATCCAAGAGGGGACTTTAATCTCACATAGGAAAAGGATATTTTTTTAGGAACTCCAACAGATAAGAGGCCTTCCCCAGTTCATAGATTCCTCAATGGCTTTGCCCTTATATTATGTTTTCCTTAGTCAGTCCCTGTATCGATTAGTTCCCTGGGGGTTGGAAGGAATGGATATGCTGTGGAGGCTGGAAAAGCACAGAGGAAAGGTTTTCCCCTGGATCCCTCTTGCCCTGATGGAAATTTCCGCTTCCAATTGTACTTGTGCAAGTGCAGAGCTTCAGACCTGGAAGAAAGGAGGCTGAGGTGTTACTAGGTTGCTGGAGACCTTGGCAGCGCTGCTCTTCCACCCTTCTGCTTCCCCAGTTCCCCATCATAGTCTCCCTCGAGGCATCTTTTCCTAATAGAGGCTTGCAGTTTCCCAGTGATGACATCCGTTTGTCCTACCAGGAGATGCAGCAACCTCCCTAGGACTATGTATTCACAGGGTGGTATTTATTTATTATAAATAAATAATTCACAGTTTAAACCTCCTCCACATTCCTTTGGGACTGTAGCATTCGGTGTGGGTGTTACTGGTGTCATCTTGGGTACTGGCAAACTGGAATGATTGGAAGCATCCAGGTGTTCATTCCAGCAGTATTGTGGGGCCTGGAACCATGGAAGTATCAAAGCACTATCTATTAAAAAGAAAGACATTTTTGGTTGATTTGCATTACATTTTGAGAAACTTTCAATATAATGCTTGTTTTGGTCTGGATTATTTTACCAGTCAAAAGGCCTCTAGAGCTGTCTTTAAATCAGCCTGTAAAAGCATTGCTGGTGGGGTTCCCCCTTTTTTAAAAGCATTGCCCTCTGGTGGGGTCCCCCCTTTTTCTAAGCAAGGCATTTGAAAATTTCAGGTCCCCTGTGGCCACAGTTTCCTCCTCCTAAGTTCATGTATTCTTACTTGGTTAGCCAATGAAATAACAGCACCTCCTGGTCATGTGATTTTGACAATCTGTTCCTGAGAAGATCAGTCTCAGATATCCTGTTCCTTTTTCTATAAGTCTGGTGACTCGCCTCATTCTGCCCCAGGCTCTGGCAGCTGCAGGTCCCACAGGGCCACCCCGAGTGTTTCTGTGCCACATCTGCCAGCACGGCTGCTCCTTCTGCCTCCTAGACCTGGATCTGTGTTTCTCATTGGCAGGTATGTCAGGAGGAGAGGGAGTCACAGAGGTTGTCCTGCTAACTCCCTGTAGGTTGACCTCTGACTCCACCCTGCATGACGGACTGAGCAGAGGTCTCATGACGGGCATGGGAACGCTTCAGTTGGGTGGGTGTCCAACTGTGTGTCTCTCTTGGACACCTTCTTCTCTTTATAGTGTAAATATGAGCCATGCAGCAGCCCATTAAAACTGAGTCCTTTTTAGAATTCTACATGCATGTCTTTCAGAGAGCAACTTGTTTGCATTTTCCTTCTCCTTCCCTCTTTTTCACACACATAAACATATACACAAACACACACAGGAAGCGGGGAAGGTGCTTTGGATTCAGCCATAGTCTAAACCAACTGGGCTGATTCAGACAGATCCAAGAAAAGTTAGCATCTCGCTCAACACTGGAAAAGTGAGGAGCTACCCACCGATGAACTGATTCTAAAAAAGATTCTGAACTGTGCAGAAATGGATAGATTGACTTTATCACTGAAGGAGAAAGAAGATACTGACTTCTATCAAACTTGGGACTCTTTATTATTGGCTAGAGAAATGGGACTTCGCATAGATTTAAATATGTTTTGAAGTTATCATAAATGGAAAAAGAAGGGTTTGGGGGCTGACCCAGTGGGCTCGATGTTTTTGATGATGGATGTTGTTTGTAGTCTTCTTTCTGTTTCTTTAGGATTATAATTTCAAATAAAACGTATTTAAAAAGTTAGCATCTGAATTAAAGGATCCTTTGCGGTGGACTGAATTCAGATCTGGATGCTCCCGAATGGTCAGAAAATGTTTTTTATTTTGAAGGACACAGAGATATAGAAGAGGGAGGCTAATAACTTGCATCGTTTTTTCCCCAGTCTCTTCATATAATACAAACAGCTCATGGCTAATTGCCATTCCAAGAATACAGAGATATTCCTGCAAATGGACAACAGGGTATTAATCTATTAAATCAATTGGAACAATCTTACATTATTTTTTCATTCAGCACAGCTCTCTTCCTCTGGTTTAGCAAAGTCTGATTGCAGCCTGCTGTTCAGAGGAGGGAATAATGTGGATCAGTTTTGCAGTGGAATTTTTTTTACTATTAATTGATGCATGTGTCCTTCTTAACCATCTATCTCACTCTATTTGACATACTACAGCACTGGAAGGAGAAATGGACAACTGCAATAGCACAGTAGAAGCAGAACTGAATGAAAATTTCAACAGGAGGTTTAAACAGGAGGTCTTTAGTGACAATTTAAAAAATATTATTACTATTGCTGCTGCTGTTGTTGCTGCTATCATCAACATTGTATTTATGTATTGCTTTTCCTCCTCTTTCAAGTCACCCATATGGCTTACATAGTCTCCTTCACTCATTTTTTATCCACATAAAAGCAATCCTGTGAGGTAGGTTGGGCTGAGAGTCCATGACTGGCCCAAAGTCTCCCAATCAGCTTTAAGGGTGCATGAGGACTGCAACCAATCTCTCCGGTCCCCCATACTCTGACCAACACACTGGCTCTTCAAGCTGTATATGGAGATTTGTGGTGTTTTTTGTGTAAGTCATTAAAAATAAGTGTGCATGGTATATATGAATACATAGGGATAAACAATATATATAAATCATGATATGGTTCTTTTTAATCTCATTTCTTTTTAATCTCATTAAAAAGAACCCACACTGTAATCTTTTGGCATATTTTATCTAACTTTTCTCTCTTGAAAACATACAACAGTTTTTCCTAACACAGAGATTAAAAATCATTTCAGAAATCAAAAACTCCAATGAATCTGCAGATTATCAACAGACCTAATAATAAAGCACAATCTATTTATTCACAGCACTGTGACCTACCGCAAGGTTCTTTGGTGAATGAAAGAAACCACCCTCCAACATATCCATGACTCAGTTTTCAATTACCTGGAGAGCTCTCAACCCAGACAGCTTGAAATAGATCCAGGAACCCTGTTTCTTTATATGCATTCATTATTTCTGTGATTCTTTGAGGATCCCTTTCTTCTTAATCCCGGAACATTCTCCGTGAGACAAAGACAGGGGTGGTGGGGAGAAAGAAGAAAAGGAACCCCTTCAAATTCAGCTTTATACTAAAATACATCACTGAAATGTTCACCCGCTCAGGGTAGAAAACAGAAACTACAACAAGAACAATGATCTTACATAATAATATAAAGAGAGGATGTTCTCTAGGAATATAAGATTGGTAGAAAGTACAAGGAAGAGGAAGACATGAAGCAAGACCAGGAGCTCTTTAGCCATGGTTTAAATGTGATGACCAATTTCAGCGGGACTTGCATGCTAACTGAACTCAATGTTACTGCTGACAGTTATAACCCGGGATCAGTGTTTGTGTGGCCAATGCTACAATATTTTTTATGCATTTTGGGACTTGTCGGGAATGGAAATGTCATCTGGCTTCTTGCCTTCCATATTAAGAGGAACACTTTCACAACATATGTGCTGAACCTTGCACTGGCTGACTCTGGAGTTCTCATAATCCTCTTAGTGATAGGAATAGTAGATGTTTCTAATCATTTTGTTTGGCATGGATTCCCATTTCTTGATGTTCAAATACTGTATTACCTCTTTGGATTGATGCATGGTGTAGGTCAATTTCTTCTAACAACCATCAGCATAGACCGGTGTGCGTCTGTCCTATTCCCCATCTGGCATAGGTGCCGTCGCCCACCACACTTGTCCGCCATCATTTGCACTCTCATCTGGGCCCTCTGGTTTCTTGTCTATGGGGTTCACATGATTCTCTTCAGTATGTCCAGAATTAGTACTGATATCTCACCATATGTCGCGCTTGCAAATGGCCTGATTTGCTTTCCAGTTATGACTATCTCCAGCCTGACTCTGTTCATCAAAGTCTACTTTAAATCACATCAAAGCAGGCGGGGAAAGCTCATAAAAACCATCTTACTGGCACTGCTGTTCTTCTTGATCCTGGCTTTTCCACTCACTGTCATATACGTATTAGGGGTGTTCTTCGATTTTCACTTTTTGTTACATTGTAGCATTTGGCATCTTGGCCTCTTCTGTGCCTCTCTAAACAGCAGTGTCAACCCATTGATTTATTTCCTGGTGGGGAGAAACAGGCGGTCTCCATCCACTGAGAGTATGAAGTTCATACTGCAGAGGGTTTTCAAAGAGCAGGAAAACAGTGAGGGGGATCTGGAACCCAGGGTCCAAATCCAGCTATGATGGCTTCCCAAGAGTGGAAAGCCCTAACCTTTTCTCTAGATCCTTATACCCAAAATACAAAAGGTCCCAATGCAATGGATGTGGAGTTGCCATGGATTTTATGTCAAATCAAACTTTTTTCCTTTTCAGTAGGATTCTGGTCCTACTAAGCCAAACTCTGTTGGTCACATACAGTTCAAACTAACACAGTGTACATTTTATTTTATTTATTTATTAAAACATTTCTATGCCGCCCCTTGCCAAGGCCTCGGGGCGGCTTACAACATCAAATACAAAATACATTAAAACATTGACCTGCTGTTCAGAATAATCTGGGCTCTTCAATTGGTTCCAAGGACAGTGGCTGGATTATTCATTGGAACTGTCTAAATAGAACCTAGTTCTGTTCCTGAAACTTTTGTGCTTACATCAAATTTCTGTGCCTTGCTTTCTTTATGAAAAACAAAACCTGTCCTTCCATGTGCATCCAAGACTCAGAAGGAATCCCAACTAGAGGGTGCCCTTGGAAGCTGGTGGAGGTTTTGCCAGAGCTCTGCTCTCAGCTTGACCCCATCAAGCAAGGAGGACCGGGCAAATAATCCTGGGAAAGCAGAGTCAGCTCTTGGGCATTGCTCTTTTGCTCTCTGATCCAGACATCGTGCCATGTGGTGGTGTTCCCCCTTTTTCTGAGCAGGCCCCTCTTTGCCCACAGTTTCCTCCTTGCTGGTCACTGAAAGAGCAGCACCTCCTGGTCTTATGATACTGATAAGGTGTTTCTGAGAAGATAAAGCTCAGTCCTCTTGTTTTCATTGCTTCGAGATCGGTGATGTGTCTCATTCTGCCCCAGGCTCTTGTGGCTCCAAGGGTTCCTGAGTTGCATTTCCCAGCATGACTGCTCCTTCCGCCTCCTAGACCTGGATCTGCATTCCTCATTTGCAGGTATGTCAGGAGGAGAGGGAGCCAGAAAGGTTCAATTGCTAACTCCTTTTAGGTTGACCACTGACTCCACCCTGTGTAACAGACTGAGCAGAGGTCTCATGATGGGCATGGGAACACTTCAGTTGGGTGGGTGCCGCTTTCTCCCTCAGCTCTCATCTTCTCTTCATCAAGGAAATCCACACATTGCTGCAACTCATTTAAACCTAGTACTTCTTAGAACTTGTTTAGATAGCAAAATATTTTCTTTTTTTCCTTTTCAACAAGTCTCTCTCTCTCTCTCTCTCTCTCTCTCTCTCTCTCATTCACATGCACAGAAGGCAAACAGGGAAAGAGAGAATGTGGGCAGGAGGATGGGTTTTTTGAATTTGGCTGAAGCCTAAATCTGCACTGCTGGTTCAGACAGATCCAAGAATAATTAGGGTTAATAATTAATTAAGAATAATTAATGCAAAGTTCCCCTGAGCTCAGTGCTCCAAGGAACTCAGTTCTCAGTGCTCCTGAAAAGTCAGTATGTATTTTCATTTTGGAGGGCACAGAGATCTAGAAGAGTAAATCTAACGACTTAGAACGTTTCTTTCCAATCTCTCCATCTAAGACAAATAGCTCGTGACTAGTTTCCATTCCTAAGAACCTGTGAGAGATGGGCTCGGATGGGCATAGAGATTTAGACAGGGTGTGGCCAATGTAAAGAGGTTTTGGCAAGGGGCGGCATAGAAATGCTATAATAATAAATAATAATAATAAAGTGAATTGGCTTAAAGCACCATTCGCCACGGAAGAGTTAAGTGACCATTTGGGCAAACTATTGCAATTGCTAAGTGTTGCTCCAAAGAGACCCTGGTGCCCATGGCCAAAGGAGGGCCAGATAAGCCCCCAGACTCTGAAAGGGAGACGCACTGTAAATTCTAGCCATGTTCAGGAGAATTTTCACTCCCAAGAACAGGAGACAGCAGATTGGGGCAATAAGAGGAAACGGTCCTTCCATGGGTTCTGTCATGAGTTGTCACCCCATGAGCTATTTGATCATTGAAGGGAAATGAAAACGAGGGCTGGCTGGAGCTCAGAGTTCCTCTTCAAGGAGAGGATCCATTCTTGCTGCCAGAGACTGTGCCAAAGAACGTTATGCTATTCTGTGTCTTTGATTCTGTGATGGGTACAGCATCTGTACATGTAGCTAGACTGGGGGAGCTTTGCTATTTTAAGTCTGAGGAGGCCAATGGGCCTTGGGTTCTTGGGGGCTGTGATTGGCTGAGAGCGCTGCTCACCGAATTTTGCTTTCCCTCCCCCCCTTTTTTGTCTGTACTTGTGCCTTGTGTGTTTAGCTGTTTTAAGTACCCTCCACCCCTATATTTTAGCCTTTTAATAAAATCCTTTCCCCCAGTCCTTTGGGCTGTTGTGTGCTGAATCCAGTGTCGGGTCAAGAGGGTGGTGCCCAGGGGTACACAGGGAGGTGGGCACTCCGGGACAGCTGACTGCCACAGCCAATGATGCAAATGCGTCTTTCCCATCTCTCCATCTAGGGGAAACAGCTCCTAGTTCATTCTCTCTTCAAGAATGGCATTTTTTCCCTGCGGAATATGGGAAGCATGGCAAGATACAGTGCACTGTACTTGAGAAACACCAGACTTCAAGTCCTGGTGTTTCTCAAGCACAGTCCTGGTGTCAGTTTTCTTATCGTGCTTCACATCTTTCACATGCATCTTCTCTGTCTTACTGCCTGAAAAAATGGAACTCATTATCAGCCTAAGCGATACGATTAAATATGGATTGTAGTGTCTGAATCCATTAAATGAACTGGAAAAGAGAGAAGTCTGAGATTCTTTTCCATTCAGCACAACTCTGCTCTTCGTACATTTTGGCAACGTCTGATGGCAGCTTGCTTCTCAGAGGAAGGAATAATTTGGGTAGATTTTGTGAGGCAAAGTTCCTCATGATGCAGTGATATATATGCCCATCTTAATGGCCTACCTGTCTCTCAATCACAGGAAATGGGTCCTCCACTTGTTTTTGGCAGCTGAAGCACCAGTAGGATAGCACTGGAAGGACAAACAGCCACCTGCAATGGTGCAGCAGATGCAGGATGCAATGAAACGTTCCATTTTTGAACATGTAGCCTTTTGGCATAATTTCCCAATGGACAAATTTATCATTTTGTTACATAGCAAGTCTATTTTGACTTGTACCCTCTTGAGAGAAGCATAAGGCGTCTGCCATTGTTCTTTGCCATGCCATTTGAACCCCACAACGAACACCATCCATGGGGCCTGAGCTTGAGGGTCTGTGAATACCCCAAAGACATCCAGTGAGCTTCATCACAGAGTGGGAAGTTGCCTCTGAATCTCCGGGGCCCCAGTCCAATGCTCTGACCACCACACCTGCTCTCAACAAGCACCTGAACTTCAATAGTCTTCACCAGAGTGGATGTTACCTAGGAGCCTAGACATTACTGTAGAGCAGGAAAGGAAGCAAGAATATGAACCCACAAATCAGAGCTGCAACATGACAAGCAATCTCAGTGCAACTTATCAGACCCCTGAACTAAATTTCACTGACTACAATGACACAGATCAGCAGTATAACCTAGTCCAAGTGGCTAGCAAGCAGTCCATATATTTACTTTTCTGTGTCTTGATGGTCATTATCTGTATTTTGGGACTTGTGGGCAATGGGATTGTCATCAGGCTTCTGGGCTTCCACATTAAGCGGAACCCTTTCACAACCTACATCCTGAATCTGGCAGTGGCTGACTTCGGAGTCCTTCTGGACCTTTTCCCCCTTGTCATACATGAAATTGCCAGTATGCTGATTAAAAAACAATTATTTCACCTTTTTATCATACCTTTTCACCTCTTCTTAATGATGTACTTAGCAGGACAACTTCTCCTGACAGCCATCAGCATGGATAGGTGTGTGACTGTCCTCTTCCCCATCTGGCATCGGTGCCATCGCCCTCCACGCTTGTCCACCACCGTTTGTGTCCTCATCTGGGTCCTCTGCTTCCTTCTCTCCGGAGTTCACATGATTCTCCAAATGATGACCATGACTGAGATTCTAGGATATCTCTTTCTTGCAATTGCACTGCTCTGCCTCCCGCTCATCACTGTCTCCAGTCTGATTCTGTTCATCAAAATCTGCTTCAAATCCCAGCAACAGAGGCGTGGAAAGCTCTTAACAGCCATCTTATTCTTGCTGTTTTTCTTCTTGATCTTGGCTTTTCCACTCTCTGCTATTTGGATAATGCTGTCAGTGTTTCATTTTTTCTTTCTCTCAGCTGATATCGTACTTCATGCTTGCCTGGTATGTGCCTGCCTAAACAGCAGCATCAACCCACTGATTTATTTCCTCATGGCGCACAAAAAGAGGGGTCAGTCTAGGCAAAGCATGAAGGTGGCCATGCAGAGGGTTTTCCGAGAGGAGGAAAACCCCCAAGAGCAATTGGAGCTCAGCACTCAAACCTAGTGTTGATGCCTTAACAAGGGCGGACACCTTCTTTATGTATAGCTTCACTGCTGCTCCATGCTTTCAATTCTTGAAGCAAGTGCACAAAAGACACCTCTGCAATGGGCCTAGGGTTGCCATAGATTCTACACGAAATGCAACAAGAGAAGGCCGCTCTTGTCTTTACTGGTCAGATTCTGGATCTGCTTGGCCAAGCTCTCTTGGTCACACACAGTTTAGAATAATAGGTTGCGCATGGACCTGCTCTGGACGATTATCCCCCTCTTTGGGTTCAAAGCACAGTGGCGAGATGATTACTTGGAGGCCGCTGCATGGACCATCTTGACAGTCTTGAAACTCTTCTGCTTCCATCTAGTTCATGTTTGATTGAATGATCTGGGGAACATGAAAAAGGGGTATTTTTATTTCTGATGCTTGGAGCATGGATTACTTCTGGGAAGGAGGCTTAATATGCTAATGCATTTTGGATGGGTTTGCTGTTTGAGACAATTTGGAAGCACGTGGTTCAAAGAAGTTCAGAGCATTTCTTTTTTCTGTTTTTTAAGTACAAACCAACATGTGTTGAATTACCTTCGCGATTAGGGAAAACTCCTTTTTTCCCTCATGTTGTCCTGACTATGGAATGATTCCAGACTCAGACTGACTCCATCACATATGAGAAGGGACTGAGATCAAAAGGAAATTCCTGTTGGAGGAAAAATAGCAGGAATTCATCCTTCCGGTTTTCTCCTTGCCTGTGCAACAATTCCACAAATTGTTATGGCTGGTTCCTCAGCACTCCAAGACAATGGTTTGGAAGGTGAAAGGCATCTTAATTTACCATGTTCTTTCTCACTTTGTTTTGCTGCATTTAGATGTTCGAGCTTGTTTTACAGTGATTTTGCCATCCTATTTGTGAACATGCATACATGAGAATTGTGGCAATATTTTATTGCTTTACCTGTAAGCTGTCACAGCTGTTTTCAATGAAATATGCAATGTAATGAAAAGAAAGGATACCACTTCAGGAGTATTTCGGAGATTTTCAAGATGACCTAAGATGCAAAGACCAAGCATGGGACTCCTGGTTGTGATATACCTGAACCTGAAAAGCCAAGCCTGGGTCTGCGAGGTTTTAAAATGTGGGCCTTACTTGGCATAAGTGAACTTTAGTTACCTATTATGCTAATGAACTACAGTTTTAGTTAGTACCTTCCTGGCCACCTCCGCAGGTCTTCCTGCCAGGGGGCTCCCCAAAAGAGTGGGATCAAATGGGTGCACTGGCACACGGCTGCCAAGTTCCCATTATCAAGCTAGCCTACTGGGAGTTTCCTACCTGGGAAGATCACAGCCCCTTCTTCCAGGGATGTGTCAACCCTTTGGCACCTTCAAGCAGGGAAGAGACCTTGGCAGGCCAGGCAGAGAGACTCATTATCAGTTCATTATGCAGTAGTCTTATTAGCACCTGCATAATCAGTATACTCCTAGGTTAGGATAACATAATGTAGACTGCTGTACACATGTGCTATGCTTTGAAGCATGCAACTTATGTAAGTTTGCCAGGCTGGCTGATATATTCAAGTGAGAAAAGCACTTTAGGGAAATTAAGTAAAAGCATTTTCACAAACCCCAAGTTTGTCAGTGGGGTGGGGTTAGGGGGTGACAGATTGGAAGCTCTCTCAAATCTGAAAAATATGAGCAGACTGGATTTTGACATGATGTCCCTCCCAAAGGCCAGGTTTATCAGCAGGTCTCGCATCACCTGCCGGAGGGTCACCTGTGCTCCTGCCTTCCACCTGCTCAACCTGGAGGCGGTCCATCTGCAATTCTTCACTCCCAGGTATGTAAGAGGATCGGTGGCCAGGTAGGTTGGCCAAAGACTGTCAGCTCGTCACTTCGTGACTAATGGAGCACAGATATCATGGTGAAAAGATGACCATTTTAATGGGATATTTACCTGCTGTTTCTCTCATCTCTCTCAGGTACTTTATTGAGTACACAGAGACCTTCTAACATCCCATTTTTAAGTCTCACCTTGATTAGCAGCCCACACACACATGCAAAGGGGAGAGAAAGAGAGAGAATATTGAGTGCTTTGGATTCAAGCAGTCTCAATTCAGAAAGCTGATTCAGACAGATTTAGAAGAGGTCTGAATTGGAAGAGGGTTCCTCTGAGTGGGACACACCTGAATCCTCCTGAAAGGGTACTGTGTACTTCAGTGTGAAATTACCTGGCAGTACGGGCTGGGACTGTGTCCAGACATTACAACAGGCCACCCTTGAAGCCACTGTGGCTTGTGTTGTGTGAACGGTGCCAGGGACATAGACCTGGATACGTTCTGTGGATGCAACAGTCTGTGCTTCTTTTGCATGATCTCCCATGGCCGAGGGGAGCGGCCTCCCCCTATACTAGTGTGGGGAAAGGCGTTTCTGAGGATGGGGCTGTGGGGCACTGGATAAAGCTGGATGCAGCTCCAGTGCGGGAGGGACCGGGCAGAGCGTGGAGGCTTTTGTGTGCCTGACTGCGTGGGGAGCTGGTCTCTTCTGGCATGTGTGGGTCCCGTACACAGAGAAGCTTCAGAAGATCACCAGTGGGGAAGAGGAGGAGAGGCTTGTATGTCTCTGCCTTGAAGGGAGTGAGCAGGGCAGGCAGTGCTACTCGAGAGCAACAGCACTGCTCCAAAGAGGAAGCCTTGGCTTTGGCTGAGCAGGGAGGGAAGACGCAGGACCGTCAGGCTGAGGGCATGTCCCCGGGAGCATGTGGACCAGAGAGGGAGAGGCCAGCAATGCAGGCAGGGCAGGGGATGCCCCCTGGGTGGAGCTTCAGCGGTGGGGGCTGAAGGGATACCTGCCAGCAATGGGAGGAATGTTTGAAGAAGGCAGAGATCACATAGTCCAGGAAGAGGAATTAGTTTTGTGGCACATGGGAGAAGTGGTGTGGCATAGCACTGGATGCTCGCTTGAGGAATACTTGACTTAACCCTTCTGCTTCTGTGTGCTCCACAACCTTCCACCACAAGATAAATGGATGAATAGATAAATGGATAAGTACATTAGTGTTGTTCCATCTTGCTTTTCCCCTTTTGCCAGAAACCCCTGCTGGCTTAGATAGTTCTCACTCCATTTTAATTTTTTTCCATTCTTATTCTCATAACAACAACCCTATACAGTACGTTGTACTGAGATCCACAGCTGGCTCAAAGTCATGTCATAACCCTCAAGGTTGAAAACGGACCAGAACCAAAATCTTCCAGGTGCCTGGTACAATCTCTAATCACCACCTTGGCTCCCAAAGTTATCTCTGGATATTTCGGATTACTCTATTCAAGTTGTTGAAAATAATAATGTATAACTAATGGTACGCTTTGTGAAATACAAATACTTTGGGATAAAATGCATGCATGTTTTATGGCTCTATTTCAATTTTATCCAAAAAAGAAAGAAAAGTAGCATGCAATATTTTTGTATATTTTATCTTACCCACCCCTGCCCAGCTTTTCCGCTTCAGCGTGTTGTCGGTTTATAGATAAAATACAAGGATGGCAATTGTAGAGATGTTTAAAAGTGAACAAAACTTCAGACTGATAAACGGCTGAACCTCAGTAAATCTATTCCCCTTGCAGTGTTGTGGCGACAGCAAGGATTTTTGGTGAATGGAAGATGGCCCAGAGCAAGAGATCCTGTATTGGATGGACTTCTTCCCATACTGCCAAGAAACCCATTTTCCAAAACACACACGCTACGCTGTGATTTCTTCGGGATCTTTTTCTTCTTGATCTTGATCCACAGTCCATGAAACAAGCACAGGAGGAAGAAATCAGCTTCAACTTCAGCTGCTCAGCTACATTTTGTACGTGAAATTTCACAGAACTCCCTCAATTCCTCTTGGAGAATCTCCAGCAGGAACACGCCTTTGATCTGAAGGAATTATATGAAAGGCACATTTTATTTAGGATACTTGCTCAGTAGAAACTGCTGAAGGGAGGAAGAAGAATCATACAAGAGGCAAGAACATAGGAGGAATATGAAGACCATATTAACACCATGTTCAAATCATAGCAAGACTCTGATGACCAATGTAAGTCAAACAATCCCTTTCCCAGAACACCATGATATTAACCCCAGATGGCATTGGAAAAATTTTATGGACATTTTCATGACTTTCTTAACGGCCATCATCTGCCTTTTCGGTCTTGTGGGCAATGGAATCGTCATCTGGCTTCTTGGCTTCCAGATTAAGAGAAACTCTTTCACAACCTATGTCCTGAATCTTGCAGTGGCTGACTCTGGAGTACTCATATTCCTATTCCTGTGGGGCATAAAGGAAATTTGTAGGTACTTCAGGATATACATACAGGATTATGATCTAGCGTTTTTCCTCTTTGGATTGATGTACTGCATAGGTCAACTCTTTCTGACAGCCATCAGCATAGACCGGTGTGCATCCATCCTCTTCCCCATTTGGCATCGGTGCCGTCGCCCACCACACTTGTCCACCACTATCTGTGCCCTCATCTGGGTCTCCTGCTCTCTGCTAGGTGGACTTCACAGAATTCTCTTGAATATGCCCAGCATTAGGACTGATATCTCACACTACCTGTTTGCTCTGCTGTCCCTGGTTTGCCTCCCACTCATGATTGTCTCCAGCCTAACCCTGCTCATCAAAGTCAGCCAGAGATCCAGGCAGCAGCGGCGAGGAAAGCTCTTATCAGCCATCCTATTTGCACTCTTCTTCTTCCTGGTCTTCGCTTCTCCTTTCACTGTCATTTATATACTCACCAAATTGTATAACTTTCACTTTAATTTTGACCTACGTTATTTTGCCCTCTTGTGCTCCTCTGTAAACAGCAGTGTCAACCCCCTGATCTATTTCCTTGTGGGGAGAAACAGGAGAGGCCAGTCAAGAGAGAGCATGAAGGTCATTCTCCAGAAGGTTTTCAAGGAGGAGGAAGAACCTGGGGAACACCTGGAACTGAGGGTGCAAAGCCAGTTGTGACGGCTTCTGAAAGCCTGAGCTGTGTGTGCCTAGCTGTGTGCAGAATGCAGTGGGAGCCTGGATAACATGCCAAACAAGCCTGTGCAGTGGGCCTTGGGGTGTCATGGATTCTAAGTCAAATCAGGCACAAACAAAGTCCCCGATTCCTTTTCCGGTGGGACAATGAAGATGAGGATGATTTCATTCATCAGTTTCTGGCTCTGGCCCTCTTAGCCATACTCTGTTGTCGCACACAATTTATTCTAATAGGCTGTACACCGATCTGCATTTGGGGATGATGAAGAATGTCAATTTGGTCCTGAAGTATCCAATGTTAGCAAATAGCCACCTAATTTAAAACCTCTAGTCCAGGGACACTTGAAAGGTGGCAGGAGTCCAGCTTAATGTTTTCTAAGGGCCGCACTAAGTGCTGCAAAGGTCTAGGCAGTTTGAGTTAATGCAGGAATGATTGAGCAATGCGCCATGGTCCTTCTTCTGGCACATGTTTCGGGAAAGCTCAAAGCTACTCCCTAGGCCTCTGTTGAAGAAGGTTTTCCAGCTTCTTGACTTGCGTATCTGCCTCGCTGTATTAATAGTACATCCTTAATGGCGTGCTAAGTTATTGCATATTACCCATCCATGTCTAAGCCATCTATGCTATTGCTCGCTCCACACATCTGTACCAGTGAAAGCTTCTCCTCATCGACTTAACTCAGATGAACTCTTAACTCATGCCTGTATTTAAATACAGGACTACATATTAAAATAAATTAGCTGGGAAAAGTTTCACCGACTTGTCATGGATTCTCAGTCCCTTCATTCATTGCGCATGCTCACCGGTGGGGCTACCCAAGTCGGCTTTGTGGGAGCTTCTCAGTCTATCTTTGAATCTCACACAGACCGAGAACATGAAGGACCCCAAGGAACAGATGATATTTCCATGCGCACAATGCTGTGCACACAGCTTTGAATCGTATTAGCATTAAATTCCTGAATGTTGTTGGGAGTACCTGAAGCCCAGAGAAACCATAGTGATGCATGGAAACCTTTGTTTCTTCTTTGTGGTTCCTAAAAATGAAACACACCATTGTGAAATACCATGACAGAGTTGGGATGATCGAACACACCGTTCTGCACAAACAAACCAACACAGCGTGTCATGTAGTACAAACCCACCCAAGGTGTGTTTCAAAAAATTATAAAAAAAGAGTTGCCACTCTAAATTCAGCACCATGCACAGAAAAGAGACTTTGAAGAGGCATTCAAACCCTGGATGGAACATCCAAGAATGTCTGGGAATATCTAGGATGACATGGATTCTGATCTATGAATGTTCTTACGTATGAACTCAGGACCATGTGTGAGGAACCTGCAGGTTATGTACATATCTACCGTACCTTCACCCAGAGCTTTCACGAAAAAAACAGGGGGGTGGGGTACCTCACCACTGCTGCCTTCTGCACGAGTCCAATGGGGGCTAGAGAGAAGAAGACAGACAAATTATGCCTCACTTTTTCCCAGTTCAATCTTTCTTGCTTCTCTCTCATTAGTAAAAGTTCCTTTGCTAACAGCACAGGAAACCCTAATTAGGCTTTTAAGACCATTGCATTCTGTTGTGTGCATTTCCTGGGAACCAGAAGTTTCATGGTGGAAATCAAAACATTTCCGTTAATAATACAGGAACAAGAAGGGAACACTTCACAAGCTTTTAGATGGCCAGCAAAGAGGGTATTGCTCTCTAAATTGTAAATGCAGTGAACTGGGCTCACAACAGTGATGAAGCAAAAGCTTACCCAAGGTTGCAAACTCAGTCTCCAGGGAAAGGGGCTTGGAGAGCAGGGCAGGAGAAGAAAGTAGTTCTGTTCTGTTCTGTTGGTTAACTTATTTCTGTCCCATCCAAAACCTGAAGCTCTCTTGGCAGTATACAACAGTTAATAAAATTAATACAATGCAAGTAACAATAAAACATTACAAAACTACACTAAACGTTTAAAATGCAAACTTTAACCGTTGAAACAACTCAGACTTGTCCATGATGTTAGGCCTGCCAAAAAACAGCTGGGAATGCATCCTGCCACCTAGTGTTATTGTAATTCCTTAATGCCTCAGCCAAAAGGATCGTCTTGCCCTGGCGCTGCACAGATGGCACAGCCGGTGGCGACCGGTCCTCAGTGGAGAGATCGTTCCGTAATCAGGGGACGAGCACTGAGAAGGTTCTTCGCCTTGCTTCCACCAACACAGCCTCCCCTGAAGGTGGCGTTAGAGGAAGGTCTCACTTGTGGAGCGCATTGTCCAAGTTCATTCTTGATGGAGAGGCATTCCATCGAATATTGTGTCCCCAAGCCACAAAGGGCTTTCTGATGCAAGCCAGTAGCTGACGTATAAGGCCAGCAAATGAAATCAACCCAATCTTAGCATCAAATGTTCAGATCATCCTGTTCACATTATTGGTCCATATCTCTCATCTGCAGAAGCTGCAGCCTCCAAACTGCCTTCAGGGACAGCCCCGTGTACAGCACACTGCACTAATCTATTTTAGAAGGCACTCCAGCATTGATTGATAGCCAGGCTAGCCCTGCCCAGGTGGCTCAGTCACCTGTGGCAAAGATGGCTCAAGATGCATCACCAACCTCTGAATATGATCCTTCAAGAGGACTGCAAATGCTCCCAGAACTGGTTGACTCTCCTCCATCTGGTCACCTATTAAGAGCATTTTGTTCTTGTCTGGACTGAGCTTCTCTGTTAGCCCTCTTGCATTCCATTGCCATAGCAAGCACCAATTAGGCATCTCTAGAGCCTCACCTGAGGGAGATGAAAGGGAATAGAACTGCCTGCTTTTGCATGTTGATAGCAGGACACTCCAAATCTCTGCATGACCTTCTTAGCAGTTTCATGTAGATGTCAAAAGATGGTGCCCAGAGATGAGTACGTCAATTACGCAGGGCATCTCCATATCCCAGAGATCAACCAGGCATTTGACAGAACCACCAGCCAGAAAATCCCCAAGGACCCTCTGGAAAGCACCTGGGTCCACCAGTTTCCAACAGTCCCACTCTAGCTCGCCAACTTCTGCATTTGATCCGTATCCTGACACGACAGTAGCATGCCACAGCCTTTGCTGCAAGAGTCGGCAATGACGTTCGCAGAGAACAGGCACACACCTTTCAAATCGTTTCCTCAACAAGTCTCAATTTTCTTCATCGCCACTGATTTTAATGGGTTTCCATAAGCATAATTAATTCTGGATCCAATCCAGAAAATGTGACTCTGCAACATGGAGCAAGATATCGCAAAGCATTCTGTATAGTGCATAGTGAGTCCAAGGACGAACAGAGCAATTTCCACCCCAAAATGCATACAAAATGCAGTATCTCTTAAGATGCAGGACTTTGCGAAGCAATTTCCTCTGTGCTCTGGAGATTTCTGAGGCATCTCCAACTAATGGATTCCTTGAAATAGTCATTAAGTTGTGATGTTGGTGCCCCACTTTTGATGCACATATATAAAACACTCTGGATTCCTCTGCTTAACATTTAGTGCTCTGCTGTGCGTGACCAAGTCCTTTGAGAAGCAAAGAAGACCCAAGATTTGAGACCCTGAAATTCTAGAAAGTAAGCATTTCAATTCAATCTACTCCCACAAATGCGTGTCTGGAAAGAGGTAGGACTTCCTACACATGTAAGTGTCTTGCTGCCGAATTTTCATCTTCTCTGGTGCATGCCATTTTTCCCCTCCTCTCCTCTTCTGATAAGCCTTCTTGTAAAGACGTTGGCTTAACGTCCTCGATCCAATGGCATTTGGGCCACCATCCGATGCTGCAGGTGTCCTTTGCACCTGTACTGAGAGTGCACAAGCATGAAGGAGAAGATCTGGGCATGGTTCCCCCATTTCCTGCTCCTTTTCCTCCCAGCCAGCACAGAAAGCTCCTCATTCAAGCTCAGAGCTGCACGCTCACAAGGAAGTCAGAGAAGGAGAACGGCTGTGCTGCTTGGAGGGAGGGGAGGGAGAACAGAGCATTCCTGAGGTGTCAGGGAAGGGAAGGGATGCAAAGACACAGAGGGTGGCACAGATGGGGCTCTGTTCAAGGGTCTTGACAGGGGGAGGAAGCTTTGTACTGATACAGCAGCATAAGGGTTATTCTTGTTATTTCTGAAAAATAAGAGCTGTCTTTCAAAGTGCCTAGGACACAGAAGAAATAATCAATGGAGGGTTCCTTTGGAAACCACCGGAATAATTTTTCTCCTCCAGCATGTAGCTAGTTTCTAGATAAAGTACAAGGATCACAATTTTATAAATTTCAAAAGTGAATAAAAGGTCAGATTTATGACAGAATGAACCTGCATTTCTTCCCCTTGCAGCACTGTGGCACACAGCAAGGGCTTTTGGTGGAGGGAAGACTGCCCCTGCAAGAGATCGTCAGTCCCCTGAAGTGCCAAGAAGTCCTTTCCTCAAAACACTCCCGTTACTTCTCTGATTCTTTCTGGATCCTTTCTTCATGATCCTGACAGATAATCTATGAGACAAGTACAAGAGGGAAAATAACTCCAGCATAAGGTTTTCCACTAGATCTTGTGCATGAAATTCTGCAAAACTACCTCTATTCCTGTTGAAGAATCTCCAGCAGGAACACGCCTTTGATCTGAAGGAATTATATCAAAGGCACATTTTATTTAGGAAACTTGCTCAGTAGAAACTGCTGACAGGAGGAAGAAGACCCATACAGGAGGCAAGAACATAGGAGGAATATGACGACCATATTAACACCATGTTCAAATCATAGCAAGACTCTGATGACCAATGTAAGTCAGACAATCTCTTTCCCAGAACACCATGATATTAATCCCACATGGCATAGGATAAATTTTATGGACATTTTCATGACTTTCTTAACGGCCATCATCTGCCTTTTTGGTCTTGTGGGCAATGGAATTGTCATCTGGCTTCTTGGCTTCCAGATTAAGAGAAACTCTTTCACAACCTATGTCCTGAATCTTGCAGTGGCTGACTCTGGAGTACTCATA